AACCACAACACACGGTAAATCTTTTTTTAAATGTACCAAGTTGGGAACAGAACAAAACTAAATACAACACAAACGAACGCAAAGAAAAAGCAAAAACGAAAAAACAAACACAACACTCAAAATTAAAGGCAGTATTTAGAATATCCGTGTTTTACCGACCATATTGCACTTTATAAATTCATGCATTTTTTTCAGTACTTTTAAAAATTTACAATAAAGTTTCATGACTAAAACCATTGCGCACCTAATGAACGTGATGACTTAATATAGTAATGGAGAATAGTTGATTAAAAATTATAATTAGTAAACAGTACATTCAGTGAATAAAATAAATAAAAGATAGCCTTTTATCAATCAATGTTAATAATAATATTCCAACAATAATGTACTCTTACACGTCTGCATAATTTGCATTCACATTTTGCTAATTATATTATTCCAACAATTATTCCGTCTTGCAGATTTTGCATTCACATTTTTAGCGTGAGTTCAATTTATCTTTGAATTACCTCCATTGGCAAAATTACTAAGCAGTTTAATTAGATTTTTCTACCCTACTGTTATTATGTTATTAAAATGTATCCACTTTTTCTGGGAATATTAACGAAAACAATATTTGACATTGATCATTTTAATATGTTTTAGCAGTGTGCGTGTATTTAATATTTTCTTTACGTTATGCAAAATTGTACAAACAGTGGAAATTATAAAATAGCTCTATGCCACTATATAAACAAACCCTACTCTACTACTTATAATAAGACACTGCGGTGCACTGAAAAGCACAGCATGGTGCGTAGTTTACTTTTATAGTCCCAAAATCTATAGCGATGACGGACTGACACACTACCTAGCCGCTTATATTATAGATTATATTATAGATATTCGAGAAGTTTAGGGGAGATCACTGCCACTTTAATTCTTGTGTGCTTATGTCTGTGATTTTTTTTTCCAAACAAAACCTGCGACTTGATTTTCCAAATTTTGTTTCTCCTGTGACTGTTTTTCTGTTCACCCACAATCTTCCATTTCTTCCCATGTTACATGGGTGTCGTTCAGACTTTTTTATGGGGTGGGAGCCGACACTGGTATAATTATATATATTTTTATATAAAATATAAATGTTCTTTATATTGTCCGGGGTTAGGCGTGCTCGAGGAGGGAAGGACCCCCCCCCCCCCCCCCCCACACACACACACACACACCCTGAGAGATTCTTAAAAGAAAAAGTAGAACGGATAAAGTTAGCTATTTCTATAGCTTTCAATCCAGAATATGGGCAGTATTTCTTTAAGACTTTTTTTCTCGGGGGGGGGGGGGGGTGGCACTTTACATTTTCGGGGAGGGGGGGGGGATGGCGGCCTCGAATAAAAGTATATATTTTCTATATAAATTCCATTTCGTGGGGGGACGGTAGACTCTCACTAACCCTAACCCCGATGAGATGTCTGGAAGAAACACCGAGTATGGGCATCCGACTACATCTCTCTACTTCTCTATTCAGCTAAACTATGGGCCGCCATCTAATAAAGGGTGGGGGGGGGTAAAAATGTTAGATCAAAGAATGGTGGGTTTTTTTAATTTTTAGAAATATACAGGGGTAGGGGCGGGTAATAATAGTCTATGTGTGTTATTTGATATATGCACGATCTGGAGACGCTACGACGCTCTGCCTCTAAGCCTAAGTAGGGTGCATGAAACAGATCCTAACGTGTTTCTGGGTCAGTGGGGTGTAAGTCATGGGACCTTTTCGAACATTTTTACCACAGGTAGCCTACATATACTTGATGGTATGGTAACAATATATTTTGTCATGCTTGTTTAAAATAATAAACCGTAATTTAAAATAAAATTTTAAAACATTTCAAACTTTTATAACAGCAAGCTTTCAAATCCACTGAAAAGAAAAATAAACCGGGAGTGATCTCCCCTAAACTTTCTCGAATATTCTTATCTAAAACAACAGGGGATGGGAACTAGGGATATAGACATGATTTTTAATCCAATTTAAATATTTAAACTTTTTTAAATAGAATAAAATCTCGTGTAAAAAGAATTGAACATTAATTGAACGCCAAATAAAGCTGGGCATAATAGTGCGCAATATTTTTAGTACTTTATAAATTTACATGCGTTTTTTTTGAGAAATTGAAAAAGAGTAAATTAGTACTTCCCATCAACGGAAATTACTCAAAATTTGACAGAAGGTAGAGAATTAGATCTTTTACTTACATGTGAAAATTTTATTTATCTACCTGAAATAGTACTCAAGTTATAGGCTTTTGAAAAATTCAAAGTTTAAAAGTTCCACTTCCGGTTACCGGAAATCGCTCAAAAGTTGATACGGATCTACGATTTTGATAAAATACTTGTATATGAAATTTCATCAACCTAGCTGTAACGGTACTCAAGTTATCGTGTTTACACACACACACACACAAACACACACACACACAGACACACAGACATACGAAAAAGATTGCAAACCTATGTTTTTCTGTATCAGTGAGGTGTAAAACGTCGAGATTTGCAAAAATCTCGATTTTTACTTTCTCGTATATACGAAGTATAGAGAAAGTCTTGTAATCGTGCACAAAAATCACAGTTTTCACCGTTTTACTCCTCAGTCCTTCATCACATCCGGGATATAGAAGACTTATTTTAATCGGGCAAAAATTATAAACTCAGATATATAAAAAGTTTGGCGTTTTATGCGTAATGGAGTTGGAAAAACTGGATTATCCAATTCTGTCCGTGTGTGTCCGTGTGTAAACACGATAACTTGAGTACCGTTACAGCTAGGTTGATGAAATTTCATATATAAGTATTTTATCAAAATCGTAGATCCGTATCAACTTTTGAGCAATTTCCGACAACCGGAAGTGGTACTTTTTCTACTTTGAATTTTTCAAAAGCCTATAACTTGAGTTCTATTTCAGATAGATAAATGAAATTTGATATGTAAGTAGAAGATCTAATTCTCGACCTTCTGTCAAATTTTGAGTAATTTCCGTTGATCGGAAGTACTTATTTACGCTACTTCCGATTTCTCAAAAACGCATGTAAATTTATAAAGTACTAATAATATTGCGCACTATTATGCACATCTTTATTTAGCGTTCACTTGGTGTGCATTTCTTTTTTCTACGAGATTATATTTTATTTTTAAAAATTTGAGTATTTAAAATGGATTAAAAATCATGTCTAGAAGTCTATATCCCGAGTTGCCATCCCCCGTAGTGTTATATTAGAATATTCAAGAAAGTTTAGGGGAGATCACTCCCGGTTTATTTTTCTTTTTGCACGATTACACGACTTTCTCTATACTTTGTATATTCGAGAAAGTAAAAAAAAAAAATTGGTGGTTAAAATAGGTCAGAGATCTTACGAGCGACCAAAGCTTTGATTAAAGAAAGCAAGTTTTTTTTTTATTTATTATTTTTTTCAGTGCATTTAAAAACTTATGATAAAGGTATTTTTTAATATATTTCTTTAATTTTTTACTATTTAGTAATTCTTTCCCAATGAAGTCAACAGTAAATATACTAAAAATATTTGCTTTAAAACTCAACCAGTAGCTTGCCATATCTAAAAGACAATTACCTTCCTGTTCTTAGTCCACAGTCGACTCTCAGTTGAGATAGCAGCCAATTTTACCAGTTTATCGCTAGTTTAATTACTTTTATCTCCCCTTTTGTTATTGAATTTAGTGAATTTTTAAAGTATAGTGTACTGAGGAACCTAATTGTCTAATTTCGTCAAAATAAAATAGATATTTTTGTATTGTCATGGGAGATAATTGTATCTTAACAATGTTAATGAAATCGCTGCATTATAGGGCTGGTAAGTAGGTCAACAACCAGTTCTATGGCTCATGCAGGTTTTATTGAGCCGTAGAACTGGTTGGTGACCTACTTACTAGCCCTATTAGTGGGTTAAAATTGAGTTACAAGATTTGCCACTAACCCATAAAAAAGACAGTCAGACACTGAACAAAATAAAAGCTTGTTGAAATGAATATGTTTAAAAACGAAACAAATCTTGCCCCAGATTACAAGCGCATCAACTCGATAGCCCGGGGGTGTGGGTTCGAAGAGGTCAACAAGTGCGACCTGCCGGACAGCGTGTACCCCACCTGTGAGATGTCCTGCAAGTCACGTGACGCCTGCAATGACCAGTCAGGTGACCTGTGGTCCATGATGGGGGACCCTGGGAACGGTTCACCTGAAATCTCCGCCCCTGTCGTCACCTTTATATTGTTACAGCTTGCTGTGTTGTGTAAGACGATGACGTCAGAATAAACTCACATTTGTTGTCAATCATTCTTGTTTTGATTTCCTTATTCCTGAACTGTGATATGTGCACTGAGAGATGTGTTATATGCACTGAGAGATGTGTTATGTGCACGGAGTTTCTTTTAGGCATCTCTTGGTGGGGGGGTGGCACTGTCCCCTACCCATTCCGAGGCAAGTCAACCGCCCCCTCCTCCCCGAACAAAAAAGAATTAAAATAGAAAATATATTATTTTACCAGTTCCCCCCTCCCCACCGAAAGTTTTAAGTGCCCCCCCCCCTGGGAGAAAATATCTGAAAGAAACACTGACTTAGATCACATGCCGACTTTCGAAGGCCTGGATGAAATTATTTTTTAAAATACAATAACTCTTGCACGTGTTGATTTTTTAAACTTTTAATGATATAACTGAGAAGTACAAGTTATACTGACAAAGATTATACTTTTTAATTGGTTATTAGCATCAAAAGATGTTTACTTAGCAACAACAAAATATTGCTTTACATTTCACCTCTGTAAGGCGCTCCAATGTCATAAATGGACAAAAAGAGCAAAAGTGCAACGACTTTTTTTTTAGTTTTGTCCAGTGGGAGGATCAATGTTTTCCTCTGGTGGTGTAGCAACAGGCAGTACAGGGATGTTTTTCTTTCCTTGGTGTGTACTCCTCATAATTTCGTTGTTTACAATTCGAGTCATATAAACTTTAACTCCAATATAGGTTTCGTTTTCGATCTTTTCTCCAATCTCAGCTACAGAAAAATCAGCAGGTACCTTCCAAAACGTACAATAATCAGTTGAATTTGGGTGTCCTGAATACTGCCTCCGTTGAGCAATGTTTTTTACCCCTGTACGTCTCTCCTCCTCTAAAGTTCTAGCATCCAATGATTCACTCGGGCGTGTTGTCCAGCACCTAGGGTCAAAAGCGTCCTCGCCTAGCATGTGACTATTTATGACACGAGCAGCTTTTTTGGAATAACTTGAGAGAACTCCTTCATCATTTTCTCGGCGAAAAAGAACAAAATAATCCACCTCTTGTAGTTCTCCATTGTCATTGTCTGGTAGTTCTGGTTCTTCGTTGTTGGTTCGGGTTTTTTTGCCTATGTTTTTTGGCGTTCCTTTCTGTTTGCTCGGTGTTGCTTCGTCTTTTTTTCCTCTTTCATCTATGTTTACTTTAGATGTAAAGTCTTCTGCCAAATGGTCATCATCTGCCATGCCTGTACTAAAATACATGTTTATACATAAAAAAGCTCATACAAATAGATTTTATATTCATAGAAAAAAATAAAAACACCTTATAAAATCCTAATATATAAAAGCCCATGTGCGCACTTTTCTCTCTCTCTCTCTCTCTCTCTCTCTCTCTCTCTCTCTCTCTCTCTCTCTCTCTCTCTCTCTCTCTCTCTCTGTCGGCAAAATATTTTCGCAGGATATCGCATCAGAATCTTCAGCGATATATGGAGAACTTGATACAAACTTTTGTTGAAAATAATATGGCACATGTTTTAAATGTATAAACAAAATTTTATTTAAAGAAGAAAAATGAAAAATAAAGGCATATTCGAATGCAGAAAACCAGTTTTAATTATGCAACCGGAAAAGAGTTTATAGTTGTGACAAGAACGCCGAAATCGATGACGTCACATGCCATATGTTTGAATTACGGAAAGTACACAAAATCAATGGCGTCATCTTCCAATTTTAGAATACGAAGAAATGAACTATTTCATTAAAATTTGATTTAGATCTATAGCTTTACTTATCGAGACGTAATTTATTAAATGTATGCAATTTCCTCGGCCAAAACTAATACAAATTGCTTTAGAAAACAGCATATTGCTTTAAAAAACAGCATAAATACCATTGAAAAGCCGGGTTTTGAACGGAATCATGTAAGTCTTTTAATTAATGTGTGCATTTAATATGGTGTTGTGTTGACTAATTATGTATATATTTTATTTTATTTTTTCTAATAGGTATTAGTTGCCTTTTTTTTTTAATGTATCGGATTTTTAGCTTTTTAGTTATTTCTTTGCTTTGTCACTAATATCGTTAAACCTGTAGTAAAGCACATTGCGTTTTGACCAATATCTATTTTATAAAATATTCTTCTAAAAAATGTATAACATTAAAAATATATAGACCTATAATTCACGTGTAACGGGTACCGACGGCTATTTTTATATAATGACACATGAAAGCGTTGATTGCCATAAGGTGTTGTAACATGGTAACGCTCCCCTTTTATACCCTTCATTCTCTCCACTAACGTCAGTGAGCGATATAACAAAAAGCATGGGAAAACATTATTAGTCGCTTACACAGTCCTTCCGTTGGCCAGGTACTCTACTTTCATACAAGTTCATGCTAAATATAATATAAATAAACAATATCAAAAGTACAGGCTGTTACAGGTGTCAAATAATAATGTCGTGTGGTTTGATTCAGCTGATAGCTGGCGCACTCCTCGCATAACCCAGGCAGACGTAGGGCGTCAGAGTGGGAGATGATGAGGGTTCAGCTGCCCTTAAAGTGAGTTGTCCGATGGGTCAGCAACGCTTAAACAGGTTTGGACGTGGGTTATGCAACCTTTATAAAGAGTTGGGTGAAAGCTCAGCAACCATTGAGGAGGGTTTGTGAGTGGCCAGCAATCCTTCCGTGTATAACTACAGCTACAGAAAAGCTAACATATTAACAAAGAGAGAAACAGTGCAGTAATGATGTATGACGGATCTCTAATAGGACACATGCATCAGTCATGAAGTAGGAGGAATCTCTAATAGGACACCTGATAATGTGGCGAGCCAAGACTATTTATGAAACTCTATACCCGCGACCACAATCAACCAACACCACCACATTAGGTGATCAGAAGGATAAAACGAACGAGCAAGATGGATCCCGTCCACCCCCTACCCCCTCCCACATTGCATTAGCCGAAGAAAGTAGGTAAGAATCAGGTTGTACGTTTGGCTCTATCTGCTGCTGATGCCATACGTCGTGGCCGGGTGGGAGAGATCACGGCTGCTGACCTCACATTTGACATCCCCCCCCCCAGAAGGGCAGATGAGGCTCGTTAGTTGGGGACAGCAACCCACGTAGCAGAGAAAACTCCTTAGTCAAACAGGAGTGGAGCCCTTTAGGGGATGTGATTACTATCTCTGGTTTTATTTCGGCAGCTTCACCACACCGATTTCTTTGGTTTCCTTTAGACTAAACCGAGAAAGAGAGAGAGAGAGAGAGAGAGAGAGAGAGAGAGAGAGAGAGAGAAATCACGATGTATTGGCAAACCCATAGTCTTTTCATCTAATTAGACCTACACATGAACACACCTGAAAACACTTGAACACATACACAATAAATAAACTTACCTCTGTTGTGAAAATATTTCAGTCTGTTATGAAAATATTTCAGTCTGTTATCTTGCCTGGTTCAAGTCTCTTCACCAAGTTGTGCAGACGTCTGGGGATGTCGAGTGAGCGAGCTACAGTACAGGCCTGCATTTATATACTGGCGGTTTCTAAACCCCCGTACAGGTTTGCATGACTGCACACGAGGTCTCTAACATCCCGGCGGGATTCGTGGAAACGAGCTTGTCGTCTGATGTTTCGTTTTAAATTTGTCACGTTTCGAAACTGAAACACTTTACAATTTTTAGGCTAGTACGGGTAGGTCTGTATCTAAAAACTAGTAGGTCAATTGCTAACTATGACAACCGTCCGTAGCCATCTTGAAAAATTAACCAATTCGTCGGATTTTCACCATTCATAAAGTATTAGATCTATATTTTATGTCCAATAAAAAATAATTTCAAAATCTTCTACCATATTATGGGATACTAAGCTAAAAATTTTAAGTTCAGATCTTCAAACTAATTCATTATAAATTTTCAAATTTTGGATCCAGTAAAAACACAAAAGTTTGAGGAATTTTGTGGTCTTAAATTTAGTGATACTCTAATCTTAACAGGGTTAAAAAATGCGCCTTAGTAATACTCTAAACTTTAAGAGCGTTAAAAGATCTGTTTTAGTAATGCACTTATCTTAACAGAGTTAAAGGAACGTCTTAGTGTAACTTTTAACCGAGTTAAAAGAATGTCTTATAGCTCGAGTGTACATGTACAAACACATTTAACCCGGTGAGTCACGTGGTGAACAGAAAAAAAGTCACAGGAAAAAAAATACAGAAAAAAAGTCACAGTTTTTGCTAGGAAATAAAGTCACAGAAAAAAAAGTCACAATGGAAAAATTTTATCGAAAAAAAAAAACAGAAAAAAGTCACAGGAAAAAAATTTCCAAATTTTGTTTCTCCTGTGACTGTTTTTCTGTTCATCCACAATCTTCCATTTCTCCCCATGTTACATGGGTGTGGTTAAGACATTTTTATGGAGTGGGAGCCGACACTGGTATAATTATATATTTTCTATATAAAATCGGACACGATTAAAAGTATTTATTTTCCATATAAATTCCATCTCGTTTTGGACGGGGGGGGGGGGGCGGAGCTCTCTAGTTCATTATCCAGCTAAACTATGGGCCGCCATCTAATAAAGGGTGGGGGGGAGTCTAAAATTATTAGATACCAAAGAATTTGGGGGTTTTAAATTTTTAGAAATATACAGGGGTAGGGGCGGGTAAAACTGTTGTATGTGTATAATTTGATATAGGTACGCTCTGCCTCTAATACTAAGGTGCATGATACACATCCTAGCGTGTATCTGGGTCAGTGGGGTGTGAGTCATGTGATATTGTCGAACATTTTTACCACAGGTACATCTACTTGATGGTATGGTTACATTTTTACCACAGGTACATCTACTTGATGGTATGATTACATTTTTGCCACAGGTACATCTACTTGATGGTATGATTACATTTTGCCACAGGTACATCTACTTGATGGTATGATTACATTTTTACCACAGGTACATCTACTTGATGGTATGGTTACATTTTTACCACAGGTACATCTACTTGATGGTATGGTTACATTTTTGCCACAGGTACATCTACTTGATGGTATGATTACATTTTTGCCACAGGTACATCTACGTGATGGTATGATTACATTTTGCCACAGGTACATCTACTTGATGTTATGATTACATTTTTGCCACAGGTACATCTACTTGATGGTATGATTACATTTTTACCACAGGTACATCTACTTGATGGTATGGTTACATTTTTGCCACAGGTACATCTACTTGATGGTATGGTTACATTTTTGCCACAGGTACATCTACTTGATGGTATGATTACATTTTTGCCACAGGTACATCTACTGGATGGTATGGTTACATTTTTACCACAGGTAGATCTACTTCATGATATGATTACAATATATTTTGTCATGCTTGTTTAAAATAATGAACCGTAATTTAAAATAAAATAAATATTTTTTTCAAACTTTTATAATAATGAGCTTTTTGTGCACTGAAAAGGGAAAAAAACTAGCTTTCTTTAATAAAAGAATTAATGGTTAAAAGTCAGATTTCTTACGAGTGACCAAAGCTTTGATTAAAGAAGGCAAGTTTGTTTATTTTCTTTTTTTCGGTGCATTTAAAAGCGTATTATTATAAAGGTTGTTTTTTATATTTGATTTATTTTTTTACTATTTAGTAATTTGTTCCCAATGAAGTCAACAGTAAATACGACTAAAAATATTTGCTTTAAAACTCAACCAGTAGCTTGCCATATCTAAAAGACAATCGTCTTCCTGTTCTTAGTCCACTGTCGACTAACAGTTGAGATAGCAGCCAATTTTTACCAGTTCATCGCTAGTTTTTATTACTCTTTATCTCCCTTTTTGTTATTGAATTTAGTGGATTTTTAAAGTGTAGTGTAATGAGGAACCTAATGTCTAACTTCGTTAAAAAATAGATTAGTATTGTCATGGGAGATATTTGTATCTTAAAAATGTTAATGAAATCGCTAGTAAGTAGGTCACCAACCAGTTCTATGGCTCATGCAGATTTTATTGAGCCGTAGAACTGGTTGGTGACCTACTTACCAGCCCTATTAGTGGGTTAAAATTGAGTTACAAGATTTTCCACTAACCCATAAACAAGACAGACAGTCAGACACTATGAACAAAATAAAAGCTTTTCTATGAATGAGTTTAAAACGAAACAAAAATTTGCCCTCCATCTTGCCCCAGATTACAAGCGCATCAACTCGATAGCCCGGGGGCGTGGGTTCGAAGAGGTCAACAAGTGTGACCTGCCGGACAGCGTGTACCCCACCTGTGAGGTGTCCTGCAAGCTAACATATTAACAAAGAGAGCAACAGTGAGCAGTAGGGCGGATCTCTAATAGGACACCTGATAATGTGCAGTGGCGAGACAAGATTCTTTATGAACTATTGTACCCGCATCCATAATCAACCAACACCACCATAATAAATGATCAGAAGGATAAAACGAACGAGCAAGATGCGTTCCATCCACACCCCCACACACCCCCCAACAATGAGAGTAGCCGAAGAAAGTAGGTAAGAATCAGGTGGTACCTAAGGCTCTATCGCCACCTTAGGCCATACGTCGTGGTCGGGTAGGATAATCCATGCAGAAATTCTTCCAGACATCTCTTCGGGGGAGCCCCCCCCCCACCCCTCACCCCTCCCCACCCACGAACGAAATGAAATTTATATAGAAAATATATACTTTTAACAGTGTCCGCACCCCCCCCCCCCCGAAAAAAGTTTACCGCCCCCCCCCCCCCCCCCGAAAATTTCAAGTGCCCCCCCCCCCCCGGTGAAAAAATTCTGGAAGAAACACTGAGCTTATGGCTCATGGCTGCTAACACGACATATACCTCCCCCCCCCCCCCCAAATTGTTTATAATTCCTTTCGACTATAACGATGGAGAGAAAAATCACGAGTACAGACAACCCTCCAACGCATCCTCAGGATAAAGTGGGACGACAAAGTCCCGAACAAGGAAATATGGCGAAGGACAGGATTAAACGACACTGTATCAGAAGTTCGAACGAGGAGATGGAGATGGCTGGGCCATGTCCTACGCATGAGCAAAAAAAGACTCCCCAACATGGCCCTGAAGTGGAACCCACCCGGAAAGAGAAATAGAGGAAGACCACTGGGAACATGGAGGAGGGAGATGGAAGAAGAAGTACAGGCTACTGGCAAAACCTGGCATGAACTAAAGTGGCTCGCTCAGGACAGGGTGGAATGGCGGAGATTTGTTGCTGTCCTATACTCCACAGGGAGTGATGAGTTAAGTAAGTAAGTATAGACAACCCATGATCTCTACATCTAATGCCCCTGGTTCTCTGTGTGCTTCCTTCCAGTGTGTCCCGGTGCAACACGGGGCCGTATCTACCATACGACGTATCAAAGATCCAGACATGTCCCAAATAGTTCTCACTCACCAAATTACAATTATATTAATATAGCGAAAATTAGTATGCACTGATTTAATGCATCGTCTTGCTCAAACCTTACAAAAGAAATACAATAAACACACATACAAACAAACGAACAGACCAGAAAACACAAAAAAACACAAACACAAATGAACACAGGCGCATTAAATAAACGTGCCTCTGTTGTGGAATATTTCAGTCTGTTATCTCGCCTGCTTCAAGTAGGGCAGACGTGTGGAGGTGTTGTGTGAGCGAGCTAAGTATATGCCTGCATTTATATACTGGCGGTTTCTAACCCCTCCCAGTCTCTCCCCCCCCCCCTCTCCCCTCTAACATCGCGGCGGGATTCGTACAAAAAAGCTTGGCGTCTGAAGTTTCGTTTTAGATGTGTCGTGTTTCGAAACTAAAACACTTTACATTTAAGCCAGTAGGTCAGTAGCTAAACACCATGCCAATCATATCTATGTAGTATATCTGTAAGCACATATGATCGGTGTGGGCAGAGGCTTAGCGACCCATCTCGGCGCCCAAGTACAAACTGTCAATTAGGCGCCCTCCCCCCCCCCCCCCCCCACCCTCGGGAGCAACCTTTCAATTTAATTTTCAATTTGCCCCCCCCCCCCCCCTCAAACTTTCGATTTGCACCCCGCCCCAAACTTTCGATTTGCACCCTTCCCCCTCCCCCTTATATTTTTTATATTTATAATGCAAAAATGCAGCTAAAATGAGACTTTAATTTGTTTTTCAAACCCATTTTGGCGCCCCCTAAGGTCGGCGCCCGGGGACATATGTACCCCCCCCCCGGCCCCCCTTCGCTACGTCTCTGGGTGTGGGTTAAACAAACCATAGTTATCGTTGTAATTGGCATGTCAAATTGTAATGGCAGTATGGAGGAGAAATAGAACAAGACAACACCTGATATTGGTAGGGTGGCATCAATATACACAACTGAATTAGGGTGGCATTTTTATACACAACTAATTTAGGGTGGCATTTTTATACACAACTAATTTAGGGTGGCATTTTTAACACAACTTATTATGGTGGCATTTTTATACACAACTAATTTAGGGTGGCATTTTTATACACACAACTTACGTGGCATTATT